TTAGGCGGCGGCGAGCACGCGGTTGGGCACGTGTTCCCTGTACCCGGTGAAGACGTCGAGGGGCGAGGGTGGCGCCCGTGGCCTCGGCGCCGGCGCGGAAGCAGGCCTCGACCTTGGCGCGGAGCTCGTCGAGGCGGGCGGCCGACGCGGCGCGCAGGACGGCGACGCCGGCGGCGCGCTCGTGGATGACGTTGGGCCGGTTGCCGCCGTCTGTGATCTGGAGGCCGATGACGTCGTCGGGGCGCGTCTGCTGGCGCAGGGCCGACACGGCGCCGTAGGCGACGACGAGGGCGTCGAGCGCGTTGATGCCGCGCCAGGGGCTGTTGGCAGCGTGGGCGGCGCGGCCGTGGTACGTGGCGTTGAGGTGCACAAAGGCCGTCGTGCGCACGAGGGCGCTGTTGTTGAGGATGCCCGGGTGCGAGATGAGGGCTGCGTCGACGTGCTTGTAGGCGCCTGCGCGGAGGCACCGTATCTTGCCGCCGGCGCCGCCTTCTTCGGCCGGCGTGCCGATGAGGAGGACCTTACCTGCGAGGTTGTGCCGGTGGAGCGTTTGGGCTGTGGCGAGGCCTGCTGCTAGGGAGACCATAGCGATGAGGTTGTGGCCGCAGGCATGGCCGAGGCTGGGGAGGGCATCTGTTTCCTTGGTCAGTATGCGTGGTGAGGAGGGTGTAAGGAGAACCTCAAGAGAATGACGCACCCATCTCGGCGTTGAAAGCAATGACGGGACCGGGCCTGCCAGTGTCATACTCAGCCGTCCACGCAGTCTCCATGCCATAAGCAGATGGCGTGACCTTCCATCCCTTCCGAGCCCTCATAAAGTTGGTCAGGGCATCGTGCGCCTTGTACTCGTTGTAAGCGAGTTCCGGGTTTTCGTGGATGAAGGTGTTCAGCGGCCAGAGCAAAGGCTCCAGGGCGCGGATGAATTCGTCCACATCGTCGAGGTAGTCGACTTCTCGGTTGATTGTGGGCGCGTATTCGGGATCGCCAGGTCTTGGAACCAGGATAAAGTCGTCTTCCATATTAATACAGCAGCGGGCAAGAAGTCGGCATGCCTCGTCCCGATAGCAACACGCAGCATATCCTGGGTGGTGCGATGTGTCACTAGGATATAAGAGCGCGTATGGAGCCTAGCTGGGGGCGATCCACGACCAGTGTCACCCCCCTGGTCGCTCGTACGAACCAAGGGACAGGCCTTGGTGGTTCAAAGCGGGGATGGTCCCGTCCTCGTCGCAGATCAAGAGGGCAGAGAGGCCAGGCAACTAATTAATACATGGGGGAGCGCGCTGAACCCCATGATGGTTCGGCTGCCGGCAGCATACTTTCTTACTTACTATGTACCTTTGCGTCTCAAGTCGTTCTGCTCCACATCCATCAGGCGTTACATTCTCCTCACCTAGTATAATGGTCGGCGAAAAGCACAACGTGGCTACGACGCTGAATTATTGGGACGACCCCGGCGATGGCTCCAAGCCCACGCCCATTTTCATCGGCGAGGGCAGGATCAGCAACAAACGGCCGCACAAGGCGCACGAGTTTGTCATATCGGACATCAGTGGCGAGGAAGACCAGTACACCCTCGACCAACACGGCTTCCAGTACCTGCACCACGCCAGCATCGAGAAGACCTTTGCCGACGAGGAGCGGATCAAGGTGGCCTACTATGAAGAGTGCAGGCAGCTTCTCACGTCTGTGACGGGCGCGCGCATGGTGCACATCTTTAACCACAAGGTGCGCAGGGGGCCGACGCAGTGGCATCACCTTGGCCTGCGGAATCTCGCGAATCGCGGCCCCGTCACCAGGACGCACGTCGACCAGTCGTACGACGGCGCCGAGCGGCGTCTGCGGTGGGAGTTCCCCTCGCGCGAAGAGGCAGACGAGCTCGTCAAACGCCGCTACCAAATCATCAACATCTGGCGACCCATCGAGCCCATCTTCAAGGACCCCATTGCCGTGGCGGCGGCACCATCCGTGCCCGACGCGGACCTGGCAGGCGCCGAGATGACGGAGGACGGGTTCGTCGGCGAGTCGTGGGTCGTACGGCACAATCCGGAGCACAAGTGGTTTTACAAGCACGGCATGACGCCGCGAGACGTGCTGCTCATCAAATGCTTCGATTCGGACGAGGGTGTCGCGAGGCGGGCGCTGCATTCGGCGTTTGAGGACCCTGCGTACGCCACGCGCGAGTGTCGACAAAGCATCGAGGTCAGGGCCCTGGTCTGCTACTGACACGTCGCTAGGGTAAGTTCCTGGGCATGTTCCTTAGGATGTTCCTAAGGGCATGTTCCGAAGAGGGGCAAGGGGGGGAGGGCGGGTGTCTCAGCGCAAGGAGAGAGTCAAAGGAGCCAAAGAGAGAAAAGGGGGGGGCAGCGCAACCCCTCATCTGGCGAGCGGGCCCCCCAGAAGGGGAAAGGTTAAGAAGCTCTAGGGATCATATAGTCCGGTGAGAATACGACGCTCGTTAGTTGATAAACAAACGGGATGAACTGCCGGGGGGGTCCACATATTGCTGCGGTTGGTACTGGGCACTATGGAAGAAAAGACGCGCAATATAGGCGGGGCGCGCGACGAGGGGCGCGGGGAGGGGGTTGAGGATGAGGGCCCATACCATGTATACGGGGAAATAGAAGCTCGAGCAGGCTTGGGTGAAGGTTGATGTGCAGACGGAGACGCACGTGGGTGAGCGACTTCACCCGGAGGATCTCTGACTTGCCTGACTTGGTAAGTCTGACTTGGTAAGTGCGTAGACAGGGTACTTATATCGTGCTCGACTCGTGCCATGTCTGATGGTCTTGGGTAGAGCCAACTCTTCGACTCGGTAACCGAGCTCAGTAACACAACAGACAGACAGAAGACAGCAGACAGGAACAGCCGACAGACAGACACCATGGCCCCCGTTCTCGACCCCCCCGAGACCGTAGACTGGATGGGCAAGCAGGTGCCCGTGTGGTCGATGCAGACCATCAACTACGGGCTGCTGCTGTCGCAGGACCCTGGCGAGATTGACAAGGTCGTCAACGCCTGTCTCGAGGAGGGGTACTTCTACCTCGACCTGCAGGGCATCGACGGCCGTCGCATGCTGTCGGACCAGCAGGAGACGCTCAAGCTGATGAAGCGCTTCTTCGATGCGCCCATTGAGGCCAAGAACGAGTTTGGCCTGATCTCGTCCCACTTGGGGTATGTTCTCTGACCCTGGATCTCTTTAGAAACAACCGTCCAACAGAAGAAGGAAAGGAAAGAAGAGAAAAAGAAAGGAAGAAGGGAAAAAAAAACTAAAAAAAAAAAAAAACTGACCGCGCCGTAGCTACGAGCCCGTCGGCAGCCGCACTGGCGTCGCCGCCGGCACCAAGGACGGCTACGAGATGCTCAAGGTGTCGCGTGACGAGATTCAGCACGACAACCCACGCATCCCGGCGCCGGTCAAGAACAGCGCCGACATGCGCATCCTCGAGAACGCCATTGGCAGCTGCAACACGGTGACCAAGGTCATCCTGTCGGCGCTGTCGACGGGCCTCGCGCTGACGGGGGCCGGGCGGTTCGAGAACATGCACCGCAACGACCGGCTGTCGACGACGACGGTGCGTTCCCCGCTCCTCCTCCATTTCTCCTTTTCTCCTTTCCTCCTTTTCTTTTTCCCTCCTCCTTTTCTCCCTGTTCTTCTCACTCAGCGTGGCTCACACCCTTGTTTTATGCCCCTTGCAACGTCCACTGACAGCACAGCTCTCCATGATGCACTACCTGCCGAGCGCGCTCGCCGGGCAGAACCGCATCGGGCACCAGAAGCACACGGACATCAGCACGCTGACGCTCCTCTTCAGCGAGCAGTGGGGCCTCCAGGTGCGGCCGCCGGGGACGTGCGGCGCGCGCGAGATGGGCTTCGTGCGGCCCAAGGCGGGGTGCGCGTTCGTGCACGTGGGCGACTCGCTGCGGTTCGCCAGCGGCATGAAGTTCCAGAGCTGCATCCACCGCGTGGTGCCGTTCGACCCGACGGAGCACCGGTACTCGATGGCGTACTTTCTGCGGGCCGAGGACGACACCATGTTTGTCGACTCGGAGGGGCGGGCCATCACGGCGGGGCAGTGGCACGACGAGAAGTTCAAGGCGTTCACGGACCCGGAGCTGTGGCAGGCCCTGGCGCCCAAGTCGATGATTCTCGGCGGCATGAAGGAGGACGGCGCCGACGAGCCTGTGCCCCTGCCTTTGGCGGCTGTGCCCGTGGCATCGGCTGTCGAGGTCGAGGCGTGATGATGCCTCGGTTGGGGCCTCTGGCTGATGCCTCGTTGGGGCCTCTGGCTGATGCCTCGTTGGGGCCTCTAGGCTGATGCCTCGAGTTTGATGCCTCGAGTTCGATGGCTGTTGTGGTCAGTACATGATGGATGATTGGTATCGATGATGGATGGTGAAGTACCTTTAGTATGCAACGCACCGTATTTTCATTCTGCTGTATGGGCTCGGTGATCCACTCGCATCTCGTATGTCAAGATGAATGGTGTACGATGGAATGTGTCTGGGTTCGATGATGGAGCTTGTTGACAGCCTCGAGGTAGGCAGCTAGGTGAGTACCTAGGCAGGTGGAGGAATGTCGAGGCTGTCACGAGATGCAGTGCTGAGGCTGAACCCCCACCCCCACGGCTGATGACTGCTGGCCTCGAGGACCGAATGGCTGACGGCCAGACCCCCACGGTCCCCTATGGCCGCTGTGCTTCAGTGAGGCCGTGCTCCAGGAGCCCCTGGCTAGCCTTGTTCGGGCCTTGAGTGAGCTAACCCAGCGAGCCTTCCCAGCGAGTGCCCAGCGAGTGCCCAGCGAGTGCCCAGCGAGTGCCCAGCGAGTACCCAGCGAGTACCCAGCGAGTACCCAACCGCAGCGTGCCCCTGGCAACGGCGCAGGGGCCGAGGGTCATGCCTTATCTTATCACTGCTCGTCTGCCTGCAGCGACATGACACACATGACGCGGAAGCTCCAGCTGTCGAGCTTCCCTCTGATGACAACCTCGTTGCTTCCCTCTTCATCCCCTCCCTCCCATCCCCTCCACACCACCTATACCTCTGTGCCACATCCGACCTCTACCACATCCAGCCTCTGCCACATCCGACCTCTCCCACATCCGGCCTCTACCACACCGACCATAACTCATCTCGACCCGCCATTCCATCTCGTCAATCATCCACGCGTCTCCATCTTCCGACACCATGACGAAGCAAACGCTAGATAGGCATCTTCACGCCAGCTCATCTAGCATGTCCCTTCGCCTCCCAGCCATACTGGGACCCATGGCATCATCCCCCGCCACTGACACCGACCAACAGACGGCTCGTCTGCCGACACGCGAATACCTCCTGGCCGACATGGCTGGCCGCTCGCGCCAGGAGAACCCCGTCTGCACGCCATGCTTCCTGACGCTTCGCTCTGTCGACCAGCCCCACGTCAGGCTGGGCTCGCCAGCCGAGTGCCGCCTCTGTGCCGTGTCCGCCGGCAAGCCCGAGGCCTACACGAAGCCCTTCTGCGACTTCCTCACCGAGAACCCCACCATCTTCCATACCGTCGCCTACTTCAAGACGAAGCTCGCCGATGCCGGCTTCCACGAGCTCTCCGCCCGCGCCAACTGGGCCGGCAAGCTCGAGCCCGGCGGCAAGTACTGGACCACGCGCAACGGCAGCGCCCTCATCGCCTTCACCGTCGGCCAGAAGTACGAGCCCGGCAACGGCGTCGCCATGATCGCCGGCCACATTGACGCCCTGACCGCGCGCCTCAAGCCCGTCAGCACCAAGCGCAACGCTGCCGGCTACGTCCAGCTCGGCGTCGCCCCCTACGCCGGCGGCCTCAACGCCACCTGGTGGGATCGCGACCTCAGCATCGGCGGCCGCGTCGTCGTCCGCGACCCCGACAGGGGCAAGACGTCCACCCGTCTCGTCAAGCTCGGCTGGCCCATTGCCCGCATCCCCACGCTCGCCCCGCACTTTGGTGTCGGCATGATGGGCCAGAACAACCCCGAGACCCAGGCCGTGCCCATCATCGGCCTCGACAACTCGGACCTCGGAGGCGCCGACACCTCGGAAGCGCCCGCCGGTCCGCCCGGCTCCTTCGCCGCCACCCAGCCCCCGAAGCTCGTCAAGCTCATCGCCCGCGAGCTCCGCACCTCCGCCTCGGCCATCCTCAACTGGGACCTCGAGCTCTACGACGCACAGCCCGCCCAGACCGGCGGCCTCGACCGCGAGTTCATCTTTGCCGGCCGCGTCGACGACAAGCTCTGCAGCTGGGCCGCCTTTACGGCGCTGCTCGCCGCCGACGCCGCGCCCGACGACGGCACCATCAAGCTCGTCGCCCTCTTCGACGACGAGGAGATTGGCTCGCTGCTGCGCCAGGGCGCCCGCGGCAACTTCCTGCCCTCGACCGTCGAGCGCGCCGTCGAGGCCCTCGCCGCGAAGAGCCAGGCCCTCGCCGCAAGGGACCACCACGCCTTTGGCCCCGGCCTCGTCGCCCAGACGTACGCCGCCTCGTTCCTCCTCAGCGCCGACGTCACCCACGCCGGCAACCCCAACTTCCTCGCCTACTACCTCGACCAGCACGTGCCGCGCCTCAACGTCGGCCTCGTCATCTGCGGCGACGCCAACGGCCACATGACCACCGACGCCGTCTCGACCGCCATCCTCCAGCGCATCGGCGACCTCGCCGGCTGCCGCACCCAGACCTTCCAGATCCGCAACGACACGCGCAGCGGCGGCACCGTCGGGCCCATGCTCAGCAGCGCCCTCGGCGTGCGCGCCGCCGACGCCGGCCTGCCGCAGCTCAGCATGCACAGCATCCGCGCGACGACCGGCAGCCTCGACCCCGGTCTTGGCGTCAAGTTCTTCAAGGGCTTCCTCGACCACTGGGAGAAGGTCGATGCCGAGTGGCAGTGAGCGGCATTCGGCATGGGCGATATGCCGGGTGTACGTGACTGGTAGGTGGTTGTTGCGCCGGAGGCCTGGAGTTGAGCATGGGGACTGTACACGTAGCGGAGCATGGCGTAGATTATAGAGTACCGCCTTGGATTTGAGACCGGAATACATGCATTTCATACTTCAGCCACTTCATTGTCAACTCTAGTCTCTATCAATTGAGTAGCGCAAGTTGCGCTAGACACCCCCTGCCAGCCCCCTTGACCCTTTCAAACATGCCGACAGTGCCGCCAACCTTCGCTCGTCCTCGAGATAGCTCCGTCCTCCTCCCCGTAGCAAGGACAACGGCAAGAACAAAGCCCCAGCTCCCGCAGTGACCGTTAGCCGATACACCCCACTCACGACCATCCTGACAATATACTACCGCCTCCCCTTCGCGAAGGTATCTAGTCCAACTACCCGTTCCGGTGCTTCATCCAAGTGCAGCCTGTTGCAAGACAGCCCGCGACTCAAGACACTTCGTCAAAGCGCCCGCGCCTTCCATACCCTAGTCCTCTTGCAAAGGTGCGCCAGACCAGGTTGTCGCTCCACGCAGAGCGGCCGGAAGTCAGGCGGCCCATCGGTGATTTCGCCTTGGGGGACATGGTAAGTAGCGTTGCTAGCGAGAGCAAGCAGGACGAGCATTCGCGATCGTTCGCCTATCACGTCGGAAGGGTCAGGATTGTGTAATGGGTTTTCGGGGGTAGTGGTGGTCCCGATAGCTCTATAGGCGCTATCGCGACGGGAGTCGGCGAATGACGCTGCTCTCGTAGCCCGGCGTTGGCGGTATTTGTGTTATTCGTATTATTTTCCTCGTAGGTGGTTTCATTGTTTTGTCCTCTTAGACCCTAGCAAGGGGGGAACAAAAATAGCCGCACTCCTTCGAGGTGACCTCACTTTAAACCGTTCTACTATACTTTACATTAGCTCGAAACTGGTAAAAACATATTCGCCTTGACTAGTGTCGCCGGTTATTTACCAAGTAGAATCTCAGAGCATTGAATCGAGGTACGAGGTGTTGAGAGCGTTCCGAAGCTAGGAGTCTTTCTGGATGATACCTGGGTTCGGCGGATTTGGAGAGCGGCTTCATCTGTTCCCCCCTTGCCTGGCTACTCGTCTAACGCTTGTGCCTCTGGTGTTTCTCGTACCTCTTTGAGGGTTGAGCGGCGTTTTCCAAGGCTTTGGGCTGCAACGTTCCGTAAGCTCCATTGGTAAAAAAAAAACGCGAGCTTCGGACCTGAGACCCCCATTATCGAACGATGGCGATGAGGACGAGGATGCCGATCCTAGCCCTACCGTGTTCCCGTTCTCGGACCGGCTGGCTTCCCGCGGTGTGCTCTCCGGCTCTTCGGCGGGCCACGTTGATCCCTCTGCGGAGGAGGCTGCTGCCCGTGTCTTGTCTCGGGGTAACGGCAAAGGCATCGTGAAGCCCAAGGCCAGCCAGAAGACGCCCGTCGCTACGTCCCCTCCAACGACGCCCCTTATCGCGACATGCTGCCGCCTGCCGTCCCTTCGGCGAAGAAGTCTGGCCCTGCCACTCGTTCTGGCAGTGCCTCCGAAACCCCCGTGTCCAAGACGTCGGCTTCCAGGGCCTCAAACTCCAAGACGTCCGCTGGTCCCAAGGCTGGTTCGGCCAAGCGTCCTACAGCTGCAGGAGCTTGGATTGACGGGGTAGAGATATATTCATCATTACCAGCTACGTCTATTGTGCAGATCATAAACATGTACCGCGTAACAGAATATGTGGGTATACAAAATGCTGCCGTGCTCATCCCGTCCTCCATGCATCCCGTCCTCCGTGATCACCCCATCGATCCCCCCGCCAACCCCCTCGCGCGCTCCAGATCCACCTCGGCCTCGCGATCGGCCCGGACCTCGTCGCACTCGTCGTCCTCGTCATCGAGGTCGTCGTCGCTCTGCGTGCCGCGGGTCGCTGTGCGCCGGCCCCGCGAGACCCTCCTGCCCCGGCTGCCGCCTCTTGACAAAGTCCTGCCTGTGCGCCTCGGCGGAGCATCTTGGAGATGCTGCGCGCGCCCCGACGACGCCCTCCTGCGTGACCGTCGTGCGGCGCCGTCGGACGCCCGTGCCCGACGCCACGGCCTCGTCGCCGCCGTCCGCGACACCGGCCTCCTCGTCGCGCCGCGACGAGGCGGGCCGCACGCCCGTCGCCGTGGCGCCGCCGGCGCTGAGAACCTCGGACCGGCCGCCGTCGTCGTGGTCTCCCTCCTCGCTCGACGTGCTCTCGACCAGCGGCGCGAGGCTGTAGGGCAGGGGAAAGACCCTCGAGGTCTTGTTGACGGCCACGTTGGCGCAGTGCTCGTTCTCGACGCGGAGCAGCGTCCAGATGCCGCGGCGGAACACCTCGGCCGCGGCCACGAGGAACGACACGACCGTCGAGTGCTGCCTGTCGTGCGTGAAGATGGCGTACAAGATCCAGGCGAAGCGCAGCAGCGGGTCGGCGACCATGATGACGTAGTAGATCCACCGCTTCTTGATCGCCGTGATGTCGCGGAGGAACTTGTGCCGCGAGTTGGGCTGCAGCAGAGAGAAATCCATAAACAGGTCCCAGACGGCTGTGTAGACGCCGTTGATGGTCGCAAAGACGATAAAGGCCGCGAGGTTCGTGTGCGTGCCGCTGATGCGGTACACCGACAGCGTCATGGCGGCCAGGATCGACATGGTGTACTTGCCGCCGTTGACGAGATGCGGGAAGATGTTGCGCGTGTCTCTGTAACGCCGCAGACACTGGAGGAAGCGCCAGATGGGAGGAATCGCGCCGAAGAAGCCGATCAGCCGCGAGTGGCTCGAGTTGCACTGCGTCGGTTCATCCCAGTGGTTCGCATAGAGGCAGAAGAAAAGTGACACATTCTGAGGCTGTCAGTCTGGAGTAGGCACGCGTTGGCGAGGTGTGGTTTGACTCACGCAGACGGCATAGGTGAGAGAGCAGTAGATGTCGCCGAGGAAGAAGTCACGAAACTCGACAGGATAGAATCCTGCAAGAAGAAGCCGCCACTAATCATTGTCAGCACGGGACTCGCGACACGCCAGCCGAGAAAACGTACATGTGCGTATGCGAACCACTTCCTGCTGGTCGGTGCAAGGACGCGAGCAGGGAACAGGATGATGAGGGCCGAGATGCCAATGAGCACCACGGGATAGTAGAGAAACACATCATCAGAGCCGTACCGACTGAAATTGAGCCAGATGAAAATACCAAGCAGCAGCAGAAAGAAGCTCGGAAACTCAGCCAGCTGCCGCCAGTCAAGGTGATGCCGCTGGTCAAACTCAAAGATGAAGGGGTAGTTGATCTTGTTCTCCGTCCACATCCAGCAATTCAGGACGAACAGGCCAAACATGAACAGCATCAGGAAGTAGCCACCATAGATCTGCATCAGGAAGCTGGTCTCCTGTCGCACACTCTCCTCCTCGTGGATCAGCAGTTGGGCCGCAAAGGTGAGGCCCTGCACGGCGAATACGACGCCGGTGCCGATGAGGATGCCACTCCTGAAGGCACTCCCCGACTCATCGCCCTTCCGCTTGATGAGACTCTTCAGCTTGCCGGCGGCGATCTTGTGGTTGCCACGCTCAAAATACTGCGCGTACATGTCTTCGACCGTCTTGATGTGGCCCTCGAGCGCGTCGCTGTTGACGAACCAGGCCTTGTTGACCTTTTCCGTCATGAAGCGGTACGGAGGCCGGGCGTTGACGGCCTTGTCGTATTTCTTGTTGAGCTTGCGGAAGGCGGTGCGATTGAGCAGGGCGTATGACTTGAGGAGCTCGAGGCCGCGGTAGAACTCCTGCAGAGCGAGCTTGAGCTTGCGCTTCGCCGTCTTGTACGACACCTGGTCCTGCGCCGGCCGTCGAATGTAATCTCGTCTGTCGTCTGGGCCGGTCACTCCACCGATGACTGGGGTCTGCGCCATGTTCGACATGGCCCGCGAGTTGGGGCCGGGCTTGAAGATTTTGTGTTTGACCTGGACGAGGTAGCCGTGGTCGCTCACGATGCCATGGCCATTTTCGTCGGCCATGACGTCGTGCGCCCCTTGTTTCCTCTTGCGCCGCTCCTCGTTGAGTTCGTAGGCTCGCCGGTTTCGCATCTCGCGCAGCTGCTCCTTCAGCACGGCCAGTCTGTCGGCGGCCTGGTCCTCCTTCATCTTGTAGAACGACTCGACCTTTTCCAGCTCGGACGCCAAAAATTCAAAGAACTCACGCTCCTTCTGCTGGTACACATCCAAGGCCATTGCCTGCATCACTATATCCGGCGCTGACCGCTGCGCTCGCGTCCTGGGCAGGGCATGAGACAGCATGCGGCGCAAACTACCCCGGTGCGGCGTCGAGTCTGGTCCGAGGGTCGCGTGTGGCGGGACATTGGAGGTACCGGTGCCGGTGCCGGTGCCGGTGCCAGTCCCAGTCCCAGTCTGTGGTCTTCGGGCTGGAGGTTCTGCCATGCTAGGCGGCGGCGCCTCGGATACGCTTCGCTTCAGTCTTCTGGCGGCGGGAAAGTGGTGCCGCACCCCATCGGGAGGAGCCAGATGCTCCGAGGTATTAGAAGGGACTTTGATGGCGGGCGCAGGCAGCTCAAACGTATTCCTGGGATCAGCGTGGTTCGGCGTCGTGGACAAGGGCGGCGTCAGGCCGAAACTGCCGTAGTGCATGTCATTGGCAGCCGCCGTGAGGCCATCACGTTCGTGCCTGCTCGTGGGGATGGCGCGGCCCGCGGCCGAGGTCGGCTTTGCTGTGCTTCGCACCGAGTTGCCCCTCAGGATAGCCACCTCGTCGGGGACGTGACCGCCCTGGGAATGGCTCCATCGTCGGATGGCGTGAAACGAAAAGGGCGACGTCGAGACGTGTTGGTCGGCATCGAGTCTCGCTGGGTTGGGTTGCGTGTCGCTGCTGGACTTGCCGTTGGCGGGTGTCGGGGGCGCGCGACTGAAGGCGCGCGAGACGGCCTTGATCTTCTTCTTGCCGCCTTTGTAATCGAGGTACTTGACGCGCCATTCTGTTTGACAGAGATAAATTAGTCGGACATTCAGACGGCGTCGTCAACGATGTGCAAGTGTGGGAAAAAGAGGTGACGGGACGTAGGGCAGGCCAAGGAATCATGTCAAGAGGTCATGTCTCACCAGGGACAAGGTCCTGGTCGAGCTCCTTCGCGAACTTCATGACGTAGGATCAATGCTACAGCAGTCGAAGTCGAGATGGCTGTCGAGAAAGAATCGGATAAGGCGTACCGGGCGCCATGGGGTGCTGGGCGCGCACGGTTTCGGAGGGCCAACAGAGCGAGGGATCGCGGTCGACGAGCGTTCCAGCCAACAATGGTGAAGAGGGGTAGTAAAGGAGGAGGAGAACGACCGGCCAGTGGTCAGCAGAAATGCAGACCAACAAGTTGAAGGTGCGCCGCGATGGGAAAAGGCGTTGGGGTGGTCACGGAGGTGGGGAGCCAGGGCTTCTGAGCTTGAGCTCCCGAGGTGCTATACCCAGGTACCTACCTCTCTACCTACCTAGGTAGATACTTGGGTACCTAGGTAGATACTTTGGTACCTAAGGTAGGTACCTTGCTGCAACCGAGGTACCAGGACCCTCGAACGAAACAGAACAAACAGAACAAAACACGGTTCCAGAAAATCAGAGATCGTCCATGATCGACAGCATGAAGCAGAGACAGCCAGAGACAAACGCAGAAGCAATGGACAAACAAGCGGCAGGGCCATGAAATTGTTTGCCGATAGTGGACGGTGAAGGGCACTGACGTCTTGGCCTCTACAGAAGGGGATTGGGCAGGCAAGGCAGGCAAGGCAGGGCCCCGGCCGCGGACAGGGCCCCCGCGTGCTGCTTGACCACTGATGTGCAGATCCAGCGGCCGCCAATGAGCACATCAGACCGAGCTTTGTAGCGCTTAGGCAGATTCTCATCTTCTCATTGGGCGCCAGGAGCTTTCCCTCCTCTGCTCGCAGAGCACCTCAGGACATCGACCCTGCCTGCCAAGTGCCTCAGTAGGTACCCATCCCAAGCGAACAACACCTCCCTCCTGCAATCTCGCGAGCACCATCAACATTGCCCCCAGCTCAGCCGTCTGCCTACTCCATCACAGCATGCATATCATCTCGTGCATCGTCGAGATGGTGCTCCGTGGCATGGTACGACCGCCTCCGTGCGTCAACAATGCCCTGCAGCTGTCACACTTCATCGTACGATATCACCAACGGCATCCCCCAACGTCTCGCTATGCCGTTGATGCTATCGCTTCCCGTCTCCCCATCTCATTTCTCTCCTCGGAGAGGGTGGTATACGAGAGAAACGTTTTGCCTTTGTGGTGACAGCAGATCTTCGACATGCTGCTTATAGCATTTCTTTTCCTACGGCTTGACTCGATATCAGTGGTCCCATGCCGCTGGCGCCTGGTAGGATCATCCTGCAACATGGCTCCCTGTCACTGGAACACCAACACCACCAACACCCGTCTGAGCAGCCCAAGTGGCAACCTCGTTCTGCAACCCCCCAACTATCACCAACCGCCGCCTCCTCTGTTGGTGCAAGTTCGCCTGAGGATTCATCTTGATTACCATGCATCTTTACCATGCATCTTTACCATGCACGTTTCCCATCAGATGCCTCGAACCGGATGGTCACATTCGCCTGGACAAGTGACCTTGATCGGTTGTGGCTGCAGTCCCGCCCGCCATCTCTGCCGAGTCCGGCCAGATCGTGTGCGGGCCCTATTCAGCTGGCTCCGTGTCGAGCACACCGCATGCCTGAGACATGCCATACACTGAAATTTAAGCTTACACGAGTCACCTCGTGAACAAGTCCCCATGATGAGACACCGGCCGCGAAGGATCGACCTGTGTCGAGAAACTCTGATGGCGAGCTGACAGTCGCCTGGCAGGAAACCCGCTCGCCTTGGCCCCGGACCGTCCCTCCGACAATCTCGCCTCTTTGCCAAGTCGAGAATCGATCACGCAGGCCCATCTTCGCTTCAAGGCTGTCCGACGTGCGCGGAGAATTGCCATGGAGGAACGAAGGATTTCGGCAAGAAAGAATCACGCCAGTCTCCAACACGATGCGCCCGCAAGCCACCTGTGCCGGTTGACGCGGAATCTAGGCCCTTTGCTGCCCGTGCGAGGGACAAGACGGCGTCTGGGGGTGGCCACACCTTGACCACCTGTGCCGCGTGACGCCGTCAGGATGCCGCATCACAAGTGTCGCATTTGGGTCAAACCTAGCATACGCGCATCCTGGATCGGCCACTCAGCCTCGGGAACAGAGGTGGCGCCGATCACCGTGAGCCCTTCCGACTGGCCTTCCGACTGGCCTTCCGACTGGCCTTCCGACCGGCCTGCAGCCCTCTGTGGAGTCGAGCCGTGCAGAGGAACGCCTGTCCGGAACGGGCGAGTTGGTGCCTGAGCTGGCCACTGGTTGGGCGCTGTCTGGTAGCTGGAACCAACAGCCTGGGACGGGGTTACACAGCAATGGCTGCGCCGTCGTCACTGGACCACATCCTGCAAGCGGATTCCGAGCCTATGAGGATACTCGCCGAAGATTGTCCAAGGAGTTATTGTTTTCGCGTGAGCACGATGCACAACAAGAGGGAGAGAGGCCCCGTGGGGTACCATCCCATAGGATACCATGTTAGAGCACGCTCAACATGCCTGGCAAGGAGCACACCTGATCGGATAACCTTGAGACTGGCCTCCTTCGCGTCGGCATGCGCCAGGAAATAGACCATATCTAAGCAGCTTCCAAGACGTTGTATTGCAACGCACCAAAGCTTCTGGCTAACTCTCCACATCCTCTTCGGGCGTCCACCTCGTGCTCTCGATATGAGACGCTCGGGGGCGGCGTACACCTCGGCTTTATATGGTGTTGTCGTCTGCTTCCCTGGGCCAAAGAAGACCCTATGGATGCCCTTCGATGTCCACTCCGAACTCACTCGTTCTCCTCTTCATACCCTGCTGGTCCCTTTCATACATGCTGCCTTGGCCATAACCTGCTTTGAATAGCTTCGTGCCCGAGTCTCCTTGCGTCTTCTGTTCCCTCGAGCTGTACTTCGCCCGCTACTACACCCTTTACGCAGCATCATGGCCACCACCGAGTCCTCACGGTACCAGGCCGTATCACGAAAGGCCCGGGATTTCATCCGTGCTCAAAGATTGGCCTGTAGGCGTCGAGCAATCGCGGAACGCGTTGCTGAGACCGAAGTGAAGATGACTTCTACGAGCAGCTTTACGTCCCTCCCGGAATCCGCTTCGGGTATTTCATCCCCCGAGAATTTGGATGCCTGCTCTTCTTCACACTCCCTGAGGTCCAGTCCGTCTTCTTGCTCCGCCACAACCTCTGTCACACCATCAGAAACTTGTACAGCAAGTTCTCGGCACAAACAAGCACCGCACAACCAGGGCCAGTCCTCGTTCTTCCGCAAGCTGCCTCTTGAAGTCCGCCAACAGATCTTTGCCGAGTTTTGGCAGTGTGCCGGCCTCAACCGTCATGTCTACCTTGAAGACGGCGACTTTCGGTTCGCTCTCTGCGAGACGGACCATGATAGCACTGACGACGCTTGCCAGACGGGCCTCGCTCACGACTTTTACCCACAACCGAGGGTCCAGAATCATCCAAAATGGTATGGCCGCATGACATCCTCGTGGTGTAACCACTGGAAGTGCCAAGAGTCCATGTGTCAAAGACGCACACCCAACAGCAGCGGAGAGGAGAAACAAGACGGGCTCTCTTCTTGCATCCCTTTGCTTCTGTCGTGCCAGAGAATGTAGGTCCATCTTCCTCCAACTGTGCTCCTTGCCACACACCACTCCCCATGTCTCAAACTGCCTGCCTCCCTACACCCTCAGGTCACGACCACATGTTGCGTCTCACGTGCCACACTGCCATTGCCACATGGCAAATTCGTACCAACGAGCCTGACCCCTTGCCTCCCACAGCTACATCGAGT